ACAATCCTGTACAATAAAAGAACTTCTGGAAGCATCACAGTCTCTCACTTCAAACTCTACTACACAGCTACAGTACTGAAAACAGCCTGGTATTGGCATAAAAACAGACAGGAGGACCAAGGGAACTGAATTAAAGACCCAGATATCAATCCACACACCTTGGAACAACTGATTTTTGACAAAGAAGCAAAAAAATATCAAATGGAAAAAAAGCATATTTAACAAATGGTGCTGGCAAACTGGATATCAACATGTAGAAGAATGAAAATAGACCCATATCTATCACTATGCACAAAATTCAAGTACAAATAGATCAAAGACCTCAACATAAAGCCACCTTCACTGAACTTTATAGAAGAGAAAGTGGGAAGTACACTTGAACACATTGGCATAGGAGACCACTTCCTAAATATAACCCCAGTAGCACAGACACTGAGAGAAACAATTAATAAATGGGATCTCCTGAAACTGAAAAGCTTCTGTAAAACAAGGACATGTTTAACAGGACAAAATGACAGCTTACAGATGGGAAAAGATATTCACTAACCCCACATCAGACAGACATCTGATCTCCAAAATATACAAAGAACTTAAGAAATCCGTCATCATAAGAACAAATAATCCAATAAAAAAATGGAGTACAGACCTAAACAGAAAATTCTCAACAGAGAAATCTAAAATGGCTGAAAGACACTTAAGGAAATGTTCAACATCCTTATTCATCAGAGAAATGCAAATCAAAACAACTCTGAGATTCCATCTTGCACCTGTATCAAGATCAAAAACACTGATGACAACTTATGCTGGAGAGGTTGTGGGGAAAAGGGAACACTTCTGCATTGCTGGTGGGAGTGCGAGCTGGTACAGCCTCTTTGGATGTCAGTGTGGCAATTTCCCAGAAAATTAGGAAACAACCTTCCTCAAGACCCAGTAATGCTACTTTTGGGTATATATCCAAAGGATGCTCAATCCTGCCACAAGGACATGTGCTCAACTATGTTTATAGCAGCATTGTTTGTCATAGCCAGAACCTGGAAACAACCTAAATGCCCCTCTGAGGGTAAGAAAGTTCACATGAGGTCACACTGTGTACATTGGCAAAGACAAGCTGAGCATGGCAAAAATCATGCTTTTCACAGAAGCACACAAAAAAACTTTTTAAACATTTAAATGATTATCGATAACAAGCAATAAGCGGCAATCAGAAATAAACCCACTCCTTTCTGCTATGCCTGTACAAAGCCTGGAAACACATTCCAAGAAAAGTTCTGTGATTTGGAGAAACAGAGAGAGAAGATGTTTGTCCTGTTTTCTTGGAGTGTTTCCATGAGCACTCAGAATTCCTGGGTCATGATCTTAAACAGAGGAAAAGGTTTGTTTGGTTTATGCTTCAACATCACTGTTTAATCATCAAGGTATCAGGAAAGGAACTCACCTTAGTGCAGGAACCTGGAGGAGCAAGCTGATGCAGAGGTTACGGAGAGGTGCTGCTTACGGGATTGTTCACCATGGTTACTTGGTCTAATTTGTATAGAACCCAGAACCATTTGCCCAAGGATGGCACTACTCACAAAGGGCTAGGAACTCCTCATTCAATCAGTGATTAAGAAAATACCCTACATTTAGATATGATGGTGGTATTTTCTCAATGGAGGTGTCCTCCTTTCAGGTAACTCTAGCTTGTCTCGAGTTGACAGAACTAGCCAGTCCATGGCCATTGGCCACTATGAAGCAGTGACTGTAGCCCACAGAATTCCTTTGGCACGGTAGAGTGGTAGCCTTTTCTATGGTACTGGTAATGAGTCAGTTAGAATCTCATGGGGATGTGGTGGCCCTTTTCACAGCTTCACCTAAGATTCCAGTCTCTACTTCTTCCTGCCATAGCTGCTACTTGGCTTGGGGAGTGCATAGGAGGAAGAATCTTGATTGAGGCCTGGGATCTTTTCTCATACATATTTTTCTGTAGGTTGTCACCTATGTTGGAGCCAGAATTTCTGGTCATGCAGGTGCATTTGAGTCTCCCATGACGTATAAACTACAATGTATTCTGGTAATCCAAGTAACATGGTTCACACAATTCATCTTAGATGGCTAATTCTTTGCACAGTTTTTACCCTATCAGAGGTAAATTATATTTTTTCAATCTCTTCCTAGGAAAAGTCACATGATAGGAAGAATTTGAAGGTGAAGACTGTAAAGCTCTGAGTAGGCACAGCTTCATATTCCTGATTATAAGGAGGAAGCAGCCACCAGCAGGTTCACAAACGGAGGCAGTTTCTGAGGGCTGTAGGGTACACACCACACTCTGAAGGTTCTATTCTCTGTTCTATCAGGTTCCACTTATTAGTAAAATAACGTGGTAATTGTGTGTATGCAGCTGACTTATATCATTTATCATTATGTCCCACAGGTCGTTGCTAGTGATGAGAAATCTGTCCAGCTTAAAGAAATGATGAAGTCACTTATACCAATTCATGTGCTTTACCTGAAGGGCATAAATGAATCTGATATCCAGGTTGCCTTTACTATCCTCTATATATTTAGAATTTTCACCATATGTTAAATTTTAATTTATGTTATGATAAAGCTTTTATTTTATATTTTTTCCAATCTACTTTTTTTAGGGAAAAATTCACAATAGCAACTCTATATGCCACTCAGAGACCAGTGTCAACAGGTATGTATCTCTTGTCTGTTTTTTTTTTAATTTTTAAATTAAAGTTTTCGTGGTGAGTTCAAGTGTGAATGTCCAGCATGAAAATGGAGGTCAGAAGACAACATGTGTGAGTCAGTTTTCTTCATCAGAGATAGATCAAGTTGTCTGACCTTTCGGCAGATGCTTTTACCCAACAAGGTATCTGAATAACTCTCTCTACTCTTAATGGTGAACACTGTCTCCATTATTCAGGTTAAACACAACTTCTTTCCCTCTTTCTCTATGTTCTCACATCACTTCCTTTTGAGTCAAATGACATGAAAGTGTTTGTTAGTCTCACCTTTCACGTCTGTTTCTGAAAAATGGCTGTAACAGTAGAGGGTGAGGCTCAGAGAAGTAGTGGATGTTCCCTACAGACACGCCACATTACATGGGAAATGTGAGAAGGAGCTGCAGAGATGGTTAGGAGACCTGCTCTTCTTGCAGAGAACCCTGGTTCCTTACCCAGCACTCACATCTGGGACTCATGACTGCCTGTAGCGCTCGCTCCCTGTGGTCAGTGCCCTCTTCTGGTCTGTGTGGGACCTGTACAAATGTGACACACACTCACAGACACATATAAAAATAAATCTTTATAGTGGAAGAACATGCTATTTAATAATCTGTAGGACAATACAAGATACATCACTTACTTAAGTGTTTTGTATATACAGTACAACCAAGCAAAACATAAAAATGTATACATCATTGTGAAGTAGAGCTATGATGCAACCAAAATGTAACAAATGTTTAGTCAGATATGACAGAACAATTTTTACAAATAAGGCAAAAAACTACCTCTAGTGATTCTACAATTTCATGATTAATAATTATATCAATTATTATTTTTCAGAATGCATCTATCAGATTGTTAGAACCATGTCGATATCTTATTGTGTGGATCTATGTTAGGAAATCAAGCAGTGAATCTTTCACTTAAATGGATGTAGAATCAGATCCTTTTGCAGCTCTTTGATGACAAACAGCTGGATAGTGTTGTGGAGAGCAACCAGGCATTAACAAAGGGCAGCTGCTAACAAGCCTCAGTCTGTTTCAATCACACTGCAGATTAATCTTGCAAAGTGGCAAATCTACATTTTTTAAATCAACATAGAAACTATAGATGGATAAAATGAAACTTTACCGTGTATTCCTTATCCAGTTTACCCCATATGGACAACCTTCATTCCTGCAGAGAACCTTCATGAATATAACACCACAGAAACATTTCAGTGCATTAAAGTATTGGTGCATTGACAGTCCAGGAAGTAGACATAGTTCATATCATTTTGCACAAATCAGTATAATATTTTCTATAGATAGAAACATGCAGACACTTTGAAGAACTTCAAAACTGCATCATAGCTAAACTAACATTGAGCAAGTACAGCATCAAGTACAAGATAATAGATTTCTTTGAATAACATGATTAAATTACTATGAAATTGACAAAATTTGCCAAATTTGATATGGAAATTCCACTCTTTATGCTGTGAATATGGTTTATTACCATTGGTTAGAAAAGAAGCAACTTTGTTCAATGACCAAGCAGAATCGAGCTAGGAGGGAAAATTAAACTAAAGGAAGGGAGAAAGAAGGCAGAGTCAGGCAGTTACTATGTAGTTGCTGGAGGAGAAAGACACCGGAACCGTACTAGAAGGCCACACCCTCATACTGATTAATAGAAATGGATTAATTTAAGATGTAAGAACTAGCTAGAAATCCAGCTGAGCCATTGGGCAAACAGTGTTGCAATTAGTATAGTTTCTCTGTGATTATTCCGGTCTGAGCAGCCAGAAAACCAGGGCAGTGTCCTTTTACACAAATTCATCTGTGTGCTTCCAATAACAGTAATAGGAAAATCAGTTTACAAAATATAATTAAGACCATTCTCTCTGTGCTGGAGGCATGGCTCAGTAGTTGAGACCACTAGCTTGTCTTCCAGAGGACCCAGGTTCAATTTCTAGCAACCACACTTTTGTGTATAACAATGATTCTAACTCCAGTCAATCATAGGGCATTTGATAATCTCTTTTACCTGTTACAGGCACCAGGCATGGATGTGCTACAAGAACATGATGCTGGTAAATTATCGATACACAATACAAATATATGAATTATAAAATAAATCATTCCAAAAAGAAGAAAAGTGGAGAATAAGGTTTCAATTATCACTGTAATTTACTAAGATATTTGTCTCAGGAAAAGGCTGAGTCACCAGGAAGACTGATATTAAACACATACTTAAGCTGATTTGTGAGAATTTTTTACCAACAATGTTACATAACTGAGAGTTCTTCCACAATCATCTAATAGAAAAATAGAAGAGATAGTTTCTCAATTTTTCCCACTGGGCATGCCAACAGTCAGGCAAAAGTTCTTTCCTGTGAATCAACATAAGGGGGCTAAAAGTTGCATAACCAAGTGCCAGAAATTTTTTAATATTTCCCATCAAGGCATTGTCCACTGAAGAGAGACTTAAAAATAGAGAAAAAGCACAGTCAGTCCAATAGAAGAAAACAAAACAGAGCATCAGAAGGAGGACACTCTGAGCAGCTCTCAGCTCAGGGGGAGTTCTGTAGAGAAGCTTGGAGTTCTGAAGGTAGAGGACATGCTGGTGGTGCTTGTGGAGAAGAAGTACCATGTAGCCACTGGCCGCTCCCATGGCTCCCTGAAACACAGCATCTCTCAGGACCATGAGAGGGAGAACAATCCATTTTGTTTTTTGACTTTCTTGCATAAAATAGCAATAATTGCTTTCACTCTTAAACTGTGATATATTTAGGCTTGTACTTGTGACGGAATAGATTAGGTTCATACCTATTAAAGCATTGAATATCCAAAAGAATGAAAAGAATGGAAGGATGTGCCGTGCAGACTGTGGTCTGAGCCTCCTCCATCCAGATGCTCTGGGACTGATGATGATGGCCTGGGCCACAGTAAGGAAACTGCTGGTGCAGATGGAGACCCCACGGGCCACCCTTGACAGGTAAATGAGGATCTTACATCCTATGTCATCTAGGAAGTTTCTCAAACCAAAATCTGCCATTGTCTTTGGCAATCCTGTTGCAAGAAGCATTATGATGTTTGTAAAAGCCAAGTGGATGAGAATAAGTTGTATAGGATTCTTCTCAGTGCTCCCCCACCAACTGAACATATAATTCACAGAAACAGAAATGTTCCCCAGAGTTCCAAACACAGTCATGAAGAGGAAAACTATTTGCTTAATACATTTCAAAAGCATTTCTTCCTTTCTGGGTAGAAAATTTTGTATTCGGGATACAAAGAGTTTTTTCCATAAAGCATCAGTAATTCTAGACATTTATCTGAAAAACATTTTACATAATAGAATTTTCTGGTATACAAGTCAGTGATGGACACATGTGCTGCTGTAGACTGGGGCCCTGAACTCCTCCTCTTCCCTGTAGACTCTGAGTTATGTGTGTGCTCTGGCAGGTGAGCTTGGTAACTGGAATAAAACTCTAAAGTTTTAAAGGAGATGTGTTTGAGCTCTATATTAGCAAAATTGACTTGTTAAAACGTGTATTTGTGTGCGTGTGTGTGTCTGTCTGTCTGTCTGCCTGTCCATATGCATGGATTGACATAGTTAACTCTCATCATAAATGAATTGAACTACAATTTCCCCTAAAAAATTCTTCTTTTTTTCTCTTTGTTTTTATTTTCCTCTTAATTAGTGTAACAGTTTCTAGATTTGCATCTGGCTTCAAAGCCTTATAACTCCAATTTTGACATGCTAATGTTTTTAAAGTTTTATGTTGATCATTCTATGATTTTACTCCATATAAGTATTTACTAATTTTTTAAAAAGCAGTTATCAATGTCAAGTTCAATTGTACAACCTTTTCAGATAGAGCCCTACAGTTAAAGCAAATCATAAACATATTTCCTGAAACTTTTCATGTAACTGCCAGGCTGCAGCTAGGGATGGTGTCTAGCAGAACCTTGTGTTGTTTTCTAGAATAGGGGGTAGCAGAGATCTCTGATCCTAGTGAAAGACTTCTGGCCATCTGTAACCCCAGTGAGTTACCTCAGGACACATAAGGGAACATAGAACAGCTCTGGACCAGGGGATGCTGATAAGGTAAACCTAGAAACAGGATTAATGATGAATTATACATTGCCATGAGTACAGGTTTTGAATCATGAGTCAATATGAACTGCACGTAGCACAGTACGTGGGGGCATACTGGGGTGAGCAGGGATTCCACTATCTAAGAGTTCATGGTGTTATTTGCTTCACTGGGGCCTTTTGAGCAGCTATTATGTCAGCTGGTTTTGCAGCCAGCTTTTCCTCCAACCTGTTTGTCAGGCAGACTGGTATTTTTATTCACCAGTCCAAGCAGATTCCAGAACTTGGACTCGGGTAAGATGTTATTCTTCAAGTTCTGGATCTCCATTCTCATTTCTCAGGATTTTGTGGTAAGCTCTGGACACCTTTTCTAGGATATGAAAAATCTGAATATTCCAGGAGCTTCATGGGTTTGTGTGTTCTGAGTACTTACAGTGTCTCTGTTCACTGCCCTCCTTCCTGTTAAACTCACAGAATTGCTTCAATTGTCTATGTACCGATGATTGTATGGATGGCCTTCATCAACCTAGCCTTGTTCTGAGATTTGTGTCCAGGTAGCCTCATGACTCTAGACATGTCAGTTATTGATTTCAACTGTTCCTCTATCAAAGAGGTAATTATTGCCTGTTTCAGTGAGTCCTAGAAAGCACAATACCATCTAAATATCTGTACAAATGAAATATGCTCCAGATATTAATAGAAAACACATCAGCATTCACTACCATATTTAAAATTAAAAAATAAGTGTTTATTCAGTGACTGGAAACCTTCAAAATCCCTATTTGCAGTTTATTCAAGTACTAATAGAAGATATTAACAATTGTCTGTTTGTTCAAATCTTGCTATTGTCGGCATTACTAATTTTCTTGTCCTCTCTTCCATTTTCCAAGCTTTAAGTCATATTTGAGACCAGGCTCTGATATCCTAATAATTGATTCATTTCTACTGAAGTCACTGTCATGGAGGAAGAGGTTTCTCATCTTCCATGTTATTTGGGAAATGCTAAAGGAAATTAATTTAAAAGATGGGACAAATTTGTGTTTAGATTGGTGGGTGATGCCAGGATGAGTCTAACCGTCAAGAGCCTGAGGTAGGTTACATCCATGCATTCTGTTTTTCTCTAAAAGAAACAAGCAAGCAGGCAAAGAGACTCAACTAAAAAAAATGTTGCTCTTTGCTACTTAGAATGGGATAAACTTAAGATGAGCTGTTTCAGGGTGTACTCCTTTACAGCCTGGATCCTAAATAGTACAGTTCTCAAGAAGGCAATGGTAACTGTTACACTGAGTATTATATTCTTCACCAGTCAGGCATACAATGACTGAATTTAAGACAAGTATTATAATAGTATGTGATAAAAATTGAGGGTCTTTAAAAACGGATACAGACAGAAAACCATCAAACAGAGTTAGAAGGCTATTGTAAAACTATGCCAATATTAGAAACATGAAAATGTATCAAAAGTGAAAAGTGCAAGGCTTACACACACTAGTGACACTGTTGAAGTCACAGTGCTGGAAAACTTACAACTGAAAAAAGGATTTTTTTTTTCATTTATCTAGTAATTTTTGAGAGAGAGTCTCCCTCTGTAAATCAGGCTAGCCCTGAACAATTGCCTTGCCAAGTCTCTATAGTGCTAACATCACAGCAATGCATCATGATTGTCTCCAGGGTTTAGACATCTGAAAATCTTAGGTATCTTATTGATCCCTTTAGAAAGGTAACTTGGGCTAAGACCCAGCCAGAGTTCTGTCATGATACTCCAGCCTGAGGATGGAGAGCAATACCTCAGCATTTCTTTTCCATCTCTGTATCTCCAGGAACTAGTCCCCTTTGATCTTTCTGGAGCCAGGGCCAGAAGGAAAGTGAAGGTCCTGAGGATCACAGAGTCTGGAACCTGCTCCCTGAATTAGTCAGAGAGTCTTCTGCTTTAATGAAACTCTCCATGATACAGCTGGGAGAATCGAAGATCTTACCTCCATGTACTCACCCGGACCTCTGTGGTGCAGACGGGCTCTGGAGCTGCTCTGGGAAGGTGACACTTTCTAGGTAATATTTGTACTTCAGGATTTGTGGGCTCTTTGCTGCCATCAGATATTGCAGACTTCAAGTTTCATGTGGTCACGGTGTCAGGGGGAAGGAAGGCCTCTGCAGAGCCCCAGTCCCTGAAGTACAGTTTCCCTCTCTCCACAATTACTACATCTGTTTTGCTCAGCAGTTATTTCCAGATTAATTATGGTTTAATTATTTTGACAAGAAAAACAAGAGGTGAGAAAATGAACAACTAACTTAAGTTTCTATGTACGGACTGCCCTGCAACTTCCGAAGGGTTTTCATCATCTCAAAGTGCCCAGCTGTGACCTGGACAGACTCTACTTCTGACACATAGACCAGGTCCCTCACTTTTCTTTCTGAAATCCCTCATCAGACAAGAGTAGAATAAAGGATGCTAAGCACTGCAGATGATGCTTTCTGATCAAGTCCCAAGCATAGACCAGGATGATTTAGAGTCCTTTGTTCTACCTGGGTCTATTGGTATTGAAGGACTCTTCTGTAAATGATTCTTTTATTCCTGCCCCTTTTAAGTACTTTAAATATCATATGGTGTAGAAGGAGCAGCGGGCCTGCTTTTCGTCCCACCCGGCTCCTGCTTGGTTAGCTTTATAGCTGAAATAACAACACACAAACTGTATTCATATAAACACTGCCTGGCCCATTATATCTAGCCTCTTCTTGGCTAACTCTCATATCTTGACTAACCCATATTTAGTAATCTGTGTAGCACCACGAGGTGCTGTCTTACCGGGAAAGATTCAGCATGTCTGACCTGCATCTGTCTTGGGCCGGAGCTTCATCGCATCTGGCTCAGAGAGGAGAGGCATGGCAATTGCCTCACTTCCTCCCAGCATTCTGTTCCGTTTACTCAGCCTACCTAATTTTCTGTCCTATCAAGGGCCAAGGAAAAGTGCTTGCTGTCTAGCGTGACATCTGAGTTTCTTCCCAGAACCATGGTAGAAAGATAGAACCCATTCCTCAGAATTGTCCTCTAGCTTACACACACACACACACACACACACACACACGAAAAGAGTCAATGTTTTTAAAGATATATAGGAGTCATTTTATTACTACATTTTTTTCTTTTCTTAAGCCAGTCATCCTCTAGATCTCTTGACAATCTGTTCTCAGGTTCCTGATCACCAAGAGCCTGAGCAATCTCTTTGTCCCACTAATTTGATTCAGTTTTTCCTTATGTCTTTTTCTTTGGTGAGCATGGCTTCTAAGGATTGCCTTTTTCTGTCCAGTTTGTGTGTCTTTGATCCATAGATTTATTATTTCCTGGATTATATTTGAAAGAGAATAATTTGCTGTTGTATATATATGTATATATGTATATGTATATGTTATATGTCATATGTATATAAACATATGAGTATGGGACAGCATGTTAGGATAAAGGAAGTTATGATGTTTGATCCCCAAGATTTGCATATATGCTAAATAGTTGGAAAGCCAATTTGAACCCTTCCTCTTCTACTTCCTAGGTATTATTATTTTTTTTTAACTTTGTTTTAATTTCTTTTTTTTTTATTGGAAAAAAAAAGTTCCCGCCTCCTCCCAGCCTCCCATTTCCCTCCCCCTTCCCCCCACTCTTCTCCCCCTCCCCCCTCTCCTCTCCCCCTCCCTCTCCAACTTCCTAGGTATTATTACAGGATTGCTTTAGAGTTTTCTGTCCTGCAGGTTTTTGGAAGCCAGAACTGTGAACCCTGGCTTGCACCTAGAATTGATAGCTGGTAGCACCTGGCTTGAGGTTCTGCCTTTTAACTCCTTCTTTTCCATTGCATAGGGGACACCAGAAGCCAGTACCACACTGATGGAAGCAGTATCCAATTCTGAGTCTCTAACATTTAATGAATTATGTGATAATCTTCCATCAAAAGAACATTAGTGGTCATTAATTAAGGTAGGCTACTGAATGGATAACTCCAGAGTCAGAGATCAGAAGCTCTTAAACATGACTATCCTCAAGCCAGGTGTGGTGCTGAATGCCTTTAATCCCAGTACTGGGAAGTTGAGACTGGCAGATCACTATGGGTTTGAATCCTGGCTGATTAACATGGCCAGTTCTATCCCAGTCATGGTGATACAGTAAGACCTTAAAAAAA